CCTTTCCTTCTGAGCCATTCTTTACCTGTGTCCTGGTTTTCTGCAGCCCAAGCGGAGAGAGGTGTCTAAGAACAAAGGCTACTCTCTGAAAACTGCTTTAAACAGATGAAGACTCAGGCATAAAGAGAGTTCTAGAGGGCTGTAGCAGGGCCTTAGTTTGTCCTGGGACTTGGGATGAGAGGCCAACCTGAGGCTGATATGCTAAGAAGTGCTCGTGTGGGTACGTGATGATGTAATTTCCCTGTTCCTGTTTTCAGAGCTGGAGGGTCTCTGGTCCTTTTTGAAGGCTGTGGCCATCTGTCTGCAGAGTCCATGACAGACAGTACAGCCTGTAGCTTCTGTCATAGACCAACACTCTGAGCCGGAGGTGGTGAAAGCTTCCCGACTTTCTCCAGGGAGGTGGGGCCTGGGGGTTTGGTGTTCCCAGGCTCAGTGCTGACTGGGCTGGATGGAGAAGGTGGTGGGGAGGAGGGGTATCAACTTCTCAATCTCCCCTCAAGCCTTGACTTCAGAGTGACCTTCCACTAGAAAATGTGTGTCCTCAGGGGCAGATACTATTATCTTGGATCAGTACCTCACCCCTGTCAGGCCCCAGTAGCAGGAGCAAAGAGTGGTGGCCCCTGAGCTGTCTGCGAGTGACAGCTGTCTGATAGCTTCCCACACACACACAATACCAGCTCCAGGGATGTGCATTTGTAAGGAGTCCGTGTGGTATCTGATGGTTAATGAAGGGCCTTGCCACCCGCTTCCCTTCTCTTGGCATTACCCAGGGTAACAGAAGGGTAAGTGTCCTCTGTACTTGAGGGAGCAGGAACAGGAAAGTCAGGTGCCTCCCTGAAGTCGTGCGGTTTATGGACTAAAACCTACTCCATATGCCAATTCTCAGCCTGGCCCTTTTCCCATGGTGTTCCTCAAAGGTGTGGCATCTGGGGTGGATAGTTCATGGTGTGGGGACTGTCTGAGTGTCATAGGGCACTTGTGACCTTGGGCCCTTGGGCACTAAGTGCCAGTGGGGCTGGCATAAATCCTCGCTAAGCTCCCATGTAACTCTGGGGTCAATGCTCCAGCTGTGCCCAGTCCCACAAGGGCCTCAGAAGCATAGGGGCTGAGCTTTTTCTTTTTAACCAAAGGGAGCCTCCGTCATGGGATGGGTGCTATTTCTTTGACTTTCTGTTTCCCCGGGTATGCCAGTCCTGGGGAGGAGAAAGGGTTGCCCAGCTGGACTCAGGCTGGCCTCGCAGCTGGACCTGGGTGGTCACTCAAGTTTCTGTGGCACCTAAGATCCAGAAACTCATGTAAGCCCGCAGGGTTTGTACTGATCGTCCTCACCTGCCCAAGTCCCAGTTGAGTGCATGTGGTGTTTTGGGTGAAGGGTGGTGGCTAAGCCCTGGTGATGTGCTGACTCTGCAAGAGCAGAGGATTTGAGGTCAGCCTCCTGGGCTGGACGTGTTCTCCCAGGATGGCCTCCTGGCCACTGGGTTAGCAGGGAGAGAGGCAGGAGCAGGAATCATACAGAGTTTTTAGCAGAGACAGCTGCCAAGGGAGCTCAGCACAGAGCTTCCTGGGCTGCGTGAGGGTGGGGTCCTCCCGGTGCTGGGATACTGACTGCATGTCACAAGCCCCACACAGTGGTGTGCACACCTGGAATGCACTCATGTGAGCACACCTGTGACACACTCACATGTGCACTTCTGGAATTCACTTGTGTGCACACCTGGAACGTATTCATGTGTGCACACCTGTAATGCACTCACGTGCACACCTATAATGTGCTCACATGTGCACACCTAGATGAGCTCATGCAAGCACACCTGGAACGTGCTTGCGTATGAGCACCTATAATGTGCTCACATATGCACACCTAGATGAGCTCATGTGTGCACACGTGTTCTCTCTTCCTGACATCCATCGCCTCCATTGTTGTCTGTTTGCTCTCTGTCCACTTCTCCTTCTCACTCAAGTTCTCTTTTCAGGGTCATTTTGTAGCCTCACTCTGTCCCCCTTTCTGTGACTTG